ACAATACAGTGAGGGAAAAAAAGTATTTGATCCCCTGCTGATTTTGTACGTTTGCCCACTGACAAAGAAATTATCAGTCTATAATTTTTAATGGTAGGTTTATTTGAACAGTGAGAGACAGAATAAAAACAAAATCCAGAAAAACGCATGTCAAAAATGTTATAAATTGATTTGCATTATAATGAGGGAAATAAGTATTTGACCCCTCTGCAAAACATGACTTAGTACTTGGTGGCAAAACCCTTGTTGGCAATCACAGAGGTCAGACGTTTTTTGTAGTTGGCCACCAGGTTTGCACACATCTCAGGAGGGATTTGGTCCCACTCCACTTTGCAGATCTTCTCCAAGTCATTAAGGTTTCGAGGCTGACGTTTGGCAACTCGAACCTTCAGCTCGACCACAGATTTTCTATGGGATTAAGGTCTGGAGACTGGCTAGGCCACTCCAGGACCTGAATGTGGTTCTTCTTGAGCCACTCCTTTGTTGCCTTGGCCGTGTGTTTTGGGTCATTGTCATGCTGGAATACCCATCCACGACCCATTTTAAATACCCTGGCTGAGGGAAGGAGGTTCTCACCCAAGATTTGACGGTACATGGCCCCATCCATCGTCCCTTTGATGCGGTGAAGTTGTCCTGTCCCCTTAGCAGAAAAACACCCCCAAAGCATAATGTTTCCACCTCCATGTTTGACGGTGGGGATGGTGTTCTTGGGGTCATAGGCAGCATTCCTCCTCCTCCAAACATGGCGAGTTGAGTTGATGCCAAAGAGCTCCATTTTGGTCTCATCTGACCACAACACTTTCACCCAGTTGTCCTCTGAATCATTCAGATGTTCATTGGAAAACTTCAGACAGGCATGTATATGTGCTTTCTTGGGCAGGGGGACCTTGCGGGCGCTGCAAGATTTCAGTCCTTCACGGTGTAGTTTGTTACCAATTGTTTTCTTGGTGACTATGGTCCCAGCTGCCTTGAGATCATTGACAAGATCCTCCCTTGTAGTTCTGGGCTGATTCCTCACCGTTCTCATGATCATTGCAACTCCACGAGGTGAGATCTTGCATGGAGCCCCAGGCCGAGGGAGATTGACAGTTCTTTTGTGTTTCTTCCATTTGCGAATAATCGCACCAACTGTTGTCACCTTCTCACCAAGCTGCTTGGCAATGGTCTTGTAGCCCATTCCAGCCTTGTGTAGGTCTACAATCTTGTCCCTGACATCCTTGGAGAGCTCTTTGGTCTTGGCCATGGTGGAGAGTTTGGAATCTGATTGATTGATTGCTTCTGTGGACAGGTGTCTTTTACACAGGTAACAAGCTGAGATTAGGAGCACTCCCTTTAAGAGTGTGCTCCTAATCTCAGCTCGTTACCTGTATAAAAGACACCTGGGAGCCAAAAATCTTTCTGATTAAGAGGGGGTCAAATACTTATTTCCCTCATTAAAATGCAAATAAATTTATAACATTTTTGGCATGGGTTTTTCTGGATTTTGTTGTTATTCTGTATCTCACTGTTCAAATAAACCTACCATTAAAATTATAGACTGATCATTTCTTTGTCAGTGGGCAAACGTACAAAATCAGCAGGGGATCAAATACTTCTTTCCCTCACTGTACATATGCATGCGTTCTGACCAATACTACAGAATTGCTGTTGACTGTTCCTAGCTGCACACAAAAATACACACGTACCAAATCCCAATTGAGTGTGTAGCGTGTGCCTCTGTAATAAACAGCAGTGTGTGGTCTGCCCACTCCTACAAGTGCACACGTACAATACACACACACACTTAAGAATTGCAGCAGGAAGAGTGCCCCCAGGATGGGTATTTAGGTTTCAGCTTTGTGCAAACACAAGGGATGCTCGGAAGTAAGTTCCACGACGGGATAGTCATTTGTCATCTCCCATTGCTGAAAATGCCACATTTGGGGGGGGAGGGATGGCGCTGAGATTGTTCTAAAGGGGGATAAACAGCCCTGCATAATGGGAACGCAGACACCAGTTAAAGAGCCGCGGGGAAACTGTTGGAAAGTTTTGTCGCCCGCAAGTGGAATTGCAACTAGAAAAAACACATTAACAACGCAGCGCACAATGGCTGCGATATCATCGCACCTTGGGGATCGTAAAGCCTTGGAAGCTCACACTTTTATTTCCAAAACTAACACGTTTCGTACACGTTGACACAGCAGCACTCATCAGTTGATGGCTGAACTTCATAAGCAAAGCAATTTTCGTAGATGAACCCAACCTGAAGCCATAATTTAACTTTTTTTCTACATCATCACCATGATCAGCTATGATCTTTGCACCGCTTGATGAAGGCCTACCTAACACACTGCTTCCTGGAGAGTCCTGCGACACACCCATCGATCGAGCTCATGCACACGAGCTGATCTCAAGGCTCCATCTTCGCGGTGGACGTCCTCTCAGGCGTCCTTCCCCCCACGTGGTGGCTAAGGAGATCTTATCTCCCTAGCCTGATATGCAGAAGGTCGTGGGTTTGATCCCGACCCTGACGCCTCTTCCATATTTGCATGCTCGCCGTCTGGTCGTGTGGATTTTTCTCTAGGTCCTCCGGTTTTTCCCTTCAAGTTTAGAATCAACGTGCATTTGTAGTATTTGAACGCTGTACATTTCCACGTGATAATCCATTTCAATTGAGCTATCATTTGTGGCCAGGTCACTGCTGAAAAAGAGCCATATATCTCATTGGGCCTTTATCTGGTAAAATAAAAAAAATTGTTTAGTTTTCAGTTTCAAGAATAGTTTAGTTTGATAGATTAGCTTTGGCTGCCACTCTGTCGTTAGACTCGACCACTGGCCATTATCCCATCTAGCAACGTGTATTGCGCAAGTGCACTTTTCTAAACAGCCAATTTGATGTATCTAACTTGTGTGTGCATATATATGTAAAAGACAAATACAAAGATCCCCCGTATAGCCTATACCAGACTACTGAGGCAAGTCCTGTTCGCAAGCACCTATGAAGACCGGAATGGCACACGAGGGGGGTGGGTGGCCAACACCACACCCGGCCACCTTTGTCTCTCCAGTGGCAATGTTTACACATCGCACTAGGTACTAATTTGAAGCTGAGTCGACCTAGGGGAGGCCCAGGACCGGTTCAGGTAATTGTCACTGGTGTTGGCTGTGAGCGGGAATCGAACTCGGAACGGCAGGTTCGTAGCGCATCACGCTAACCGCTACACTACCGCTCCCCACTATATGTATATACACACACATGTATACAGCCTAGCCTAGCCTAGGCTTAGCTGCACTATGTATCTCAGCATTACGAAGGGTAAGGCCCAGGGCTGGCCTCCACTAGATCATCGAGGCCCCACAGATCATAGGATCTTGCCTCTAGCTCCATGCCAGAATCAGGGGCCGAAGTGAGCCACTTCTGAGCACTGAAATAAATGCAGCAGCGTAAAAGTGTACGATTATTATTTCATTTTTCTTAGCTCTTTCGGTAAAGTCATGTTGAAGGGAAACAATAAAATAATAAAATATATGTAAAACAATATATACAATATATAAACAATAAAATAATAAAATATATATAGAACAATATATTTTATTACTTTATTGTTTCCCTTCAACGTGACTTTACCGAAAGAGCTAAGAATATGAATTACTGCAGTCACGAAAGCTTTAAATCAAAATTTATTATTTCATTGTTTCCCTTCTACGTGACTTTACCGAAAGAACCAAGAATATGAATCCCTGCAGTTACAAAAGCTTTAAATCAAAATTTTACTTTCAGAGAATTAGAGAATATCCCATTTAAATAATTATGGCAGAAGAACGACACAAAATGGCCTGCCCTTGCTACGCGTGTCACTCGTACCAAATTAGTCGCTCAAACAAGCGACTGCAAAACATAATATGCATTCATAAATTGTTCAAATGCTACTGCATCTCCGGAAGCCATACGCAAAGTGGGGCATGTGCTTCACGGGGACAATAGTTGCGGTATTTTATATTTCGTAAAAGTACGGCGTGATTGAGATCACATTATAGAGTGGGGAACAGCAGCCAGTCATTGACATTTTTGTTTGTGCACACTTAACATCAGCAAGGGCCACGGTGGCCAAAGTCAACTGTTGGCGTGTGTTGCTTGCACCTCGGCCAGAGGGATCAACATCCAACTGGGTTGTTTCACCATAAAAAATAAAAAAAAATTGGCATTTAGGTCGTCCATCAGTCTAAGAACCTTCGGAACCAAAGTTTTCCAGAAAAAAAAAAACAGGCCGAGAACTGCACTGGTTTCTGCTTACCCAAGATTCATCAGCATGGTTTAACCTTTAAAAAAAAATGCCGGTTGGTTGCCCGGTGTTATAGGCAAAAGCAATTCGTTAAAATATACGCGGTCATTTAGCACTGTAAATTGTGCAGCCCTTTGTCAATCCACTGCTGGACGGAGTCATGGTGGTTATTTGGGGGGTCGTGAAGATTATTTGGCTATACTTCGCCTTGCTGGTCAGTGTGGGTTAGTGAAGGTGGGGAGCACAGACACGGGAGCAGAGAAATACAGTACAACAATAAATTTCATTGCATTGCTTTCTGTTGCCCAACTCATAGAGAAGTACAGAAAAAATATGTATAAAATTACGACTTGCTATCTTGGCAGATGGTGGGCAAGGACCAAACACCAACAAGTAGTAAACAAACACACAGACGATCGTCTGTTGCATCACCACAGCGAAAACTCAAAGCACATCTATGATCAAGGGCCATTGCCTGAAACCCTGCTCATGATAGAATTTTATTCTTGAGGGCAATATTATTACAAACTTTTAAATAATGTATTTCCTCTTCATTACAGTGTTACTGGTGAACGCGCCGAGTATCTGTAATGTAACGTGTTGTGAGCTTTTGTCATTTGCACTTGAGCACCACTGCCAAACGCAGCATCGCGACGTTTGCCGCTCAATTTCGATCGCGAGATCAGATCACATCAGATTGAATCGGATCGGATGAGTATTGGCGGCTGCATAATTTACCCGATGAAGCGGATGTGCGAGAGTAGCAGCAGGAGGCAGACGAGGCGACGGGGACGCTCCATCACGGGGATGTCCGACTGAGCCATGTGCCATGCCAGCGCATCCGTCACGCCGTCCAGGATGCGCCGCACCTTCTCGCTGCTGCTGCTGCTGCTGCTACTGCCGGAACCCTGCTCGCTTCTCCGGCCCTCCAGTGAATAGACAGCCTGGCCTGGCGACATTTGGGGCAGCGTCGACGCCACGTCGGCAATGGACATGGAGCAAGGGTCGGCGGGGTGAGGGGTCGTGATGGCGGTGGCTGTGGCTTGTGCTGAAACCGAAGGGGATGTGGTGTCGGTGGCGGCGGCGGTGGCTGTAGCAGTAGCAAGAGCAGCAGGGCCCATTCCGGACAGCATAGGGATGGGTTGTGAAATTGACGTGGGTGGCGGTGCTGATGGTGGGGGCAGCACCGGAAACAGGCCTGCCACACGCAGAAACGAAAGTCACTCAGCAGAAATTTATGAGCCGCTTCCCCTAGATCAAAAGAACAGAAGGACATTCTTGGATTGAATGCTCACTTGGAGTTAAACTGCAAAAATATGAAGTAGCATGTATGTATGCAACTTCATATTTGGCTAACCGTGTTAACCAGAGGTGCGGGAGAAGGACAAACTAAACACAAAAAGCAGTTCTAAAGAAATTCGTTTTAAATTTTAAATGATAGGCAATTTGATTTAAACAGTTTATCAAATGAAGAGTTGTCATGATTATCATCAGTCATAATCAATGCACTGCTGGATGAAGGCCTCTCCAAGCAGTCACTATCTCTCACAATTCTGCGATGTTATTATCCACACAAGCTGATTTAAACATTCTAGCTCCCGGATGGACATCCTCTCAGATGCAATCAATTCCTTGGCTACCAGTCCATCATTATTTTTGAGTATTAAAAAAATCGCACAGCCTAGTCAAGAGGGCTCAACAAAGACTTTGGTGAAACACGTGGAGGAAAGACTGAGTTCAGAATATATAATTACACAATCAATGTTTCTCATTGTTTTGTTATAAGAGAAACAAATTCAAATACAATGTGTTTTTACAGACTTTTTTTGCGACTGAACTGTGTGGCAGGAGCATGAGTTAATACGATTAAGAATTCCAAGGAAATTACATGCAAGCTCCCCCCCCTCCCCCCGGTTATTTAAGCCTCTTGTCTTTGGAAGCCATTATCACATTCACGTGGGAGGTAGCTGTGGATTAATTTTCATTGTCATTTTCATGAATATGGCCAAAGGCTCATAGTTGCCTTCGGTTTAGATCATGTGGGAATGTTTTTTTGTTTACATTCTACCTACACAAGCTTTCCCTAAATAAGCTAATTATGATTCAAAACATTGGTCGTGAAATCCTACGTAAAATATATGATCAATAGTAATGATTCAAAACTATAAAAACATTTACCTAGACTAAAAAGTACCTGTGAAATCTCACAATTTACATCCATGCACCAGGACTTAGGGGAGGTCCTGGACAATTTATGATATCATGTGGCATGTGGCTGTGAATTGAACTGGGGTTGCTGGGTTAGTAATGCAGTGTCAACAACACCGCCACCACATACATACACACATACATACAAATCACAGCCGCTATTTGCAAATATTTGATGATGGCTTTCCCACAGCATTTGCACCAAACTAGATTAACTTTGAGGCCACATGAAGTGTTGAAGGTTTGCTGATGGCAGGAGGTCACGGGACAGACTCAGGTGTTATGGGTTAACTGATTGAGATTACTGACAGAGGTGCCACCTGTGCTCCCCACTGTGCCAAAATGGCACACATACAAATACACGGCCACACATATATTCACACGTACACACAGACATCTTACGATTTTGTGAACATATAGAGATATCAGAGCACGTCCATCGCGGAGATGGAAGGATTATATTAAGTCTGGCTCAGCAGCTAGAATTGTTGCTTCGTGAAATCATGCGGGGATGGCGACGACTTGGGGAGGGCCTTCATCCAGCAGCGGATGGATCATGGCTACTGATGACATACTGTATCATCAGGCATGAAAATCATTTACTCGTATCCCTGTTATTCCGCATTCTTTACACATATTTTACAGTGGTATTCACCACGTTGCTTATGACCAAATCACCCGGAATCTGCCCGATCTCGGACGCCAAGCAGGGTTGAGCCTGGATAATTGCTTAGATGGGCGACCACCATGCACAACAGGGTGCTGAGCGGCTACGCTGTAGGCAGCTGAGATACGTTCAGCAAAATGAATGTTTGTAATGTACTTATATGCTCGCACACACAAGCTCCACAACTTCACCAACCTGCACCAGCCAGTGTGGTGTCGAACGCTCAAAAAAGCCCCCACAACCTGCACAGATGAGGCCCTCATCTAGCAGTGGAATTGCAAAGACACGTACTCATCACATCAATAGCACCACCATGCTGCTCTGTTTAGTAAAAAGGTATTTTATAACTCTAAAACATGAATGTGAGAAATATTGTGAAGCATGACACCAAAGAACAATGATCCATTCCAGGAAGCTAAGTTAATGCATTTAATTATCGGTTTAAGTACACAAACAAGTCACTTGCCTAAGTTGACTAGACTATGCGACTGCATAATATTGTTGCATTGTTTTAAATGTGAAAAAAAAATTATGTCGCTAATAACCTCCATTACTATATATAACGAACTCTAAAAAAATAGCACTACTGAATGAAAAACTAATGCAAGGTAGTTTAATTACCGAGAACTACAAACAGAAAGTGTAAGTTAAACGGAGATCACTAATATTTTCTTTCACCACGACAAATATTCCGAGTAGACAAAAATATCAGAGTATATTGCAAATTAGTTTCAAGCACGAACATTTCGTGTAGATAATAAAAACAAAGCACCCAATAAAATATATGCAGATTTTCACGTATATGTGTACTTACACTTATTAATGGCCTTCAAATTTCAGCCCATTATTTGGCAAATTTAGGCGCAAACACCACGATGAGCAAATGCATACAAGTGTAACAACAACTGATGTTTAATTAGCGGCGGCAGCTGAAATTTGTTAAAACATAAAAAAAAGCAATGACACTTGCTAATGAGGTGGAAAAAAATGGCTGTTTATCTGGCGACTTGCCCCTGATTTTGTGAAGAGCCCTTATATTTAGAATCCTGTCTGGAATCACCAAGCAATACGAGACATGTATCTCCTTCGAAGCTCCAAAAATACTGGGCTCACAATTGACGGCTACACCACTCCTCAGTAGTGTCGGGCCCTCTTTGGTGAAAGAAGGCTTGATGTTCTTCCAACGTGGTCATGCTGCCTGTTCAAAACTCAAGACAAGCCACAGTGGTGCGATTGTAGTCATGCAATCCAAATTATGGACCATATAGTAAACAACTGCAGTCAGTGCTTCTTCAACAGAGGAAGAGAAAACTGACATGAAATCTCTCCTGAAGCCCTCTCACTGGTATATATCTCCTGAACACATTGCTGCAAAATGCAAGAATAGCATATGGGCAATGTTAGTCTAATACCAATGTTGGCTATAGGCACCGTAAGTCTATAGAACACATGATAAACAACTGTAGTCTGCAAAACAACGCAAACATTCCCCTAAAGCCCTCTCGGTGTGGCTGGCAGACCTCTAAATTGGCATTTATCTCCTGAACATATCGGCCCACCATATGCAAGGATAGAAAGCACCACATGCACAGGGCTCTTTAACAAACAGCCACGTGGCTCTGAGTAACAAAGGAACGAGGTGCGATGCTATTATTTGTTTTTTCTGCCGTGACACGAGTTTGGTATCAAGAATTCCGTTGTTACTAGGCAAATGGGAGCATGTGCGTGACAAAATTCCCTCGCTCTCTTATCACGTCACTAAAACCCTGATGCGGTGAAGGTAAGCAACAAGGTTTACATTACCAAACGAGTCAGATCACTTTCAGCAGCGCAATTGGAAAGTGGAGTGCAATAACAATGTGTAATACAATTGTTTTTAATAATTGGAATTTCATTATTGGTATGATATCAATGTGCAACGTTAATGTAATATGAGCAATATAGCACAGCTGAATTCATTTTGCTCCATTCGAAAATAGGCAAACATAATTTAGCAAACAGTGGTGTAGTATAATGTAATTGTTCAATGTCTGCGTTGGATTTGGAATTGAAATAGCTGAGTACCAAGGACAATTGCTAAATCCCATTGGCAATCAATGACGCAGATGACAAGAGGAAAAAAAAATAGGCTGAGCATCAGTAAAACACGTCTATACTCTACGTCAGAATACAAAGGTGAATTTGGACCCTGTTGCTGTGCTACGTGGAAGCAGGCAACACTTTGGGACCCATCTACCCGCTAAAGCAATAAAGAAAAAATCGTGCATTCGCATAGAGATTATGTAACGATTTTTTCCAACACCATGAGCGGCACGGAGTGCGATGAAGCAGCCCGTGAAGGCCAAACCGAAAAGCGTGTTGGCAACTCGTCCGTTATGCTCTGGCGTTGTGTTGTCAAGCTTTGGGCAACTCTGATTAATTTGGCCGCCTTTCATGAGGGTAAGTTGCTCGTCGCAATACGACTTTAAACAAAATATTAATTTGTAACGGATCACCTTTACAAGAGTTATCATGCCTCCACACCCACCCCGACGAACAGACGAATGGAACCTGCTGAGTAAACGCTTTTAAGCCAAGTTGAAAAGCATTAAAAACCCAATGAAAAAACAGTCTTGCCTCATGCACGTTATTAATAACTTGGTGTGAACGTCTACAAGGGGAAACCTCGTTTGCCACACAGCGTTAGATAAAACTTGGCAATTTTACAATACTGATGGCACCCGATGGAAGAATACTCTTAAAGCACCTGTATAATGAGATCACTTTGGTGGAAAAGCAATATGATTATGGGGAAAGATATTGTCTCCTGTGCCAGAGGAGATTAAGGAGGGATATGTTCCAGGGAACACAATACAGACGGCTGAAACCAAGAAAATCGTGGGATGAGGATGTGCGGATCTCCAACACAATGAACAAGTCGCATCTTTCAGCCACAATTAAGCGTTTCAATTAATTGCACACTTAAGCTTTGTATCAGAAAAAATAATGCCACATGCAGCATGCAAAAATAAAAATGTCAAAGATCACAGGGGAAAAAAAAGTCGGTTACCCGCTCAAAGAAACGTGCAGAAGCGCTCATCTCATATGTACAGCTGAGATAGTGATATAATTCCATATTCCTATGGTGGGGATAAGTCATTCCCACATGGTGGGGATGAGTCATTCTACATGACAACTACTGTTAGCTTTCCACAAAGTGGTCCTTGACTTACTGGCGCAGAAGAAATGAAAGGCCGAGTCCTAGTTTGTTATTAAGCAGTGAAAGATGAAAAGCTGATGGAAAGAGAAATCCGCTCACCGCCACTACCGTGGCCGTAACGGAT